AAAATGAAATCCTTGACAACTTCAATCTTTTCTCCATTTATCATGATGTTGCTCATTGGTCCAGTTGTGAGGATTTTTTTATGTGGAGGTGTAATCCATACTGAAAACTGTAGTCCTTTTTCTTCAACAGTAAGTGCTTCAAGTCCTCTTTACGTTCAGCAAGTGTCATGGATTGAATTGTGTCCCCCCAAAATATCTGTCAACTTGGCTAGGTCATGACTCCCAGTTTTATATGATTATCTACCATTTTGTAATCTGAGGTGATTGCCCTATGTGTTGTAAATTTTTATCACTATGATGTAGTAAGGTGGATTAGCGACAGTTATATTGATGAAATCTACTAGATAGTATCTTAAACCAATCTTTTCTGAGATATAGAAGAGAGAAGCAAGCAGAGAGAAATGGGAACCTCATATCACCAAGAAAGCAGCACTAGGAGCAGAGTGTGTCCTTTGGACCTGGGGTTCCTGTGCAGAGAAGCTCCTAGTCCAGGGGAAGATTGACAACAAGGACCTTCCTCCAGAGCTGACAGAGAAAGCCTTTCCCTGGGGCTAATGCCCTGAATTTGGACTTGTAGCCTACTAGACTGTAAAACAATAAACATCTCTCTTTGTTAAAGCCATCCACTTGTGGTATTTCTTTTATAGCAGCACTAGATAATTAAGACAGAATTTGGTACCAGGAGTGGGGTGCTGATCTAACAGATACCTAAAATGTGGAAGTGGTTTTGAAACTGTGAACAGATAGAGGACCAGGAGGAAATGAGGAGAACTGTTAACACCAAAGACGGCACAGATGGGGAGAAGCAGCAGCAGAGGACTGGGAGCAGCAGAGGACCAGCAGCAGCGGAGAACTGAAGGTCAGACTAACAGGAGGCAGCTGCAGGATCCAGAGTGAGCAAAAAGCCAGAATGACTGCTTATATTCAGATGCAGACCACACCCACAAGGAAACTCCCTTTCAACTGATTGGCTACTCACAGCATATTCAATCATGGGAGTGATCATGTATAAACACTGAGAATCATGGCCCAGCCAAGTTGACACACAGTCTTAAGCATCACAGCAAGGAAGGTTGTGTCACCTGCATAATGCAGGTTACTAATGAGTTTTCTTCCAATCCTGATGCCCTGTTCTTCTTCATATAGTCCAGTTTCTCCATTATTTGCTCAGCACACAGATTGAATAAGTATAGTGAAAGGATACCACCCTGACGCACACCTTTCCTGACCTTAAACCACACAGTATCCCCTTGATCTGTTCAAACAACTGCCTCTTGGTGTATGTACAGGTTCCTCAAGAGCACAATTAAGTGTTCTGGAATTCCCATTCTTCGCAATGTTATCCGTAATTTGTTATCATCCACTCAGTCAAATGCCTTTGCATAGTCAATAAAACACAGGTAACCATCTTTCCGGTATTCTCTGCTTTCAGCCAGGACCCACCTGACATCAGCAATAATATACTTCGTTCCACATCCTCTTCTAAATCCAGCTTGAATTTTTGGCAGTTCCCTGTCGATGTACTGCTGCAACCTTTTTTGAATTATCTTCAGCAAAATTTTACTTGCGTGTGATATTAATGATATTGTTCAATAATTTCCACACTCAGTTGGATCACCTTTCTTTGGAATAGGCATAAATATGGATCTCTTCCAGTTGGCCAGGTAGCTATCTTCCAAATTTCTTGGCATAGACAAGTGAGCACCTCCTGTGCCCTAAGCTAGAAACCTCAATTACCTTCAACTCCTATCCTTCACCTTCCTCTACTCTTACTAATACTTCCTTATCTCTCATCTGAAATAATGCCACTGTATTCCCAACATCCTTCCTACATTCATTCTCTACTTATTCTGATCCATCCTTTGTATTGCCAGCATAATTATCAGTAAATATTTTTCTGAATCAAAAATCTGATCCTCCTCCTCAACTCACCCACTATAAAAACCTTCCCTGACTTGCCTTTGCCTACAAAATAATGTCCACATATTTACATTTACAATCTTATCCCCTTCCACTCATTTTATAGTGGTGTGCTGATAAATGTTTAACAACCAGATCTCCACAGGAAAATAAATTCCTGATTTGTAACGTTTACTAATATCTGTAAATTAGTAAATAGGTCACCATTGGCTGATTTCAAGGTACTGCAAAGTCACCAAATATGGAGTTGATAGGAGATGCACACAATTGGCTCTCAAGAGCTTGTGTGAGCTGGCTGCAACACAAAATGTTTGGTAAAAACTGACTCTCTTCACCTTCACACCATGTTTTAGCACAAATAATTTCAAGCATTTAAGTACTATTCTTCAAATGTTTGTATATTCTGGCAATGTATAATTTTAAAAGAGTTAATAACATGACTCTCGTATAAATATATAATGAACATGTGTCACAGATTCATTGAACTCATATTAATGAGTAAACCATCTTTCTACTCTGTAGGTTCTCATCCTGCTGGTTCCCACAATAATACAAGCTAAATAAATCTTTGATGCACATTCATTATATATTTGTATAACAGTCATTGTTTTTAACTTTTTGAAAATTATAAAAAAATAATTTAAAACCACTATTGAATATATGGTGGTTTTGTGACATTTAGAGCTGACTTGATGGCACCTAAGAACAACAACAATCCAGAGAAAATAAAGATGAAATTATTACCACGGATTTTCTCAATGAAAATATATTATAACCACAATGAATTACTTGTGGATTTCATTGATACTTGTTACTTTGAAAAGGGGCCCACATGCTGTTCTAACCACAACATTAGGCCACTTGCCACTTATAGAAGTCATGAACTTTTTCACTTCTATTCTTTTTTATAATAGTGTTCCATCTGATTGAAACATCCTTTTCTGCCTACTGAATTAATAATGGAGTTCCTGGATGGTGCAAACAGTTAAGCACTCAACTACTACCTGAAAGGCTGGCAGTTCAAAGCCACCCATAGGCGCCTCAGAGGACAGTTCTGGAGGTCTGTTTCCAAAGGGTCCAACCTAGAAAACTCTATGGAGCAGTTCTATTCTGCACACATGGGGTCTCCAGGAGTTGGAATTGACTGGATGGCAACTAACAACAACAATAACAATAACATTCTATTATGTAAGGCACTCTGCTAAGTACTTTACCTTCATTAACTCAGTTAATCCTCACAAAAACCTCATAAAGGTAAATAGCACCACAGGGCTCAGAAAGGTTCAATACTTTTCCTAAGATCACACAGCTATTAATACTGAAGAATTAGGTTTCAAATCTGTCTTTCATTTCAGAATCAGTTTTTTAAACAAACTAAACTGACTTATTCTCATCTTTAAAATGGTAATATCTCCACTGTAATTCCATCTCTGAGCCACAGAAATAAGTGAATCATTTCCTCACCTATGTTCTCATATCACTTTGCTTCTGTTTTCAATACTGACGTGTTATGTAGTTTGTTAAACACTTTACATGCATAATCTCATTTAATCACAAAATTCTGAGTTGCATACTACAACTATTTTCTCCAACAGACCACATAACTGAGGCTGAGAAAAATTAAATAAATTGCCTAAGTTTACACATCTACAAAGTGGCTGAGCCAGCATTTGAACCAAACAATCTAATGACAGAGCTCAAGGTTCTTAGTGCTTTGAATTTATCTTCCATGCTAGGCTGTTAACTCTCTGATGGTGGGAAAAGGGTTTTGTTTGTTTGTTTAGGCCATCCTAGATACTTGTATAGTGCCTAGTTTATAATACATGATAAATGTTAAATGAGTGAAGTCAACTCACATTACCTTTGCTTTCTCTTCTTCAAAAAGGCCAAGTTGTTGGACTATGCTAAACCTCTCCCCCATCCAACTTCCTGATGCATCCCTCAAGACTGCAATTTCTTTTCCTCTGTTAGATATCACTGGGTGGTTATTTTCACTTCTGAAGAATATCGGTTTGGGGCTGAGTGGGGTACAGGAGCAGAACTGTAATGATCCTTCCTGCTATTTCCTTCCTTTTTACAGAAATACTCAGCTAACATTTTACATACACATTTCTGTAGATAAACCATCTAGTGAAGTGGGTAAGGCTGATATTATCAACTTATCTCATAGATGGTTAAACTGAAGTTAAAGTAATGAAATTATTATCTCCAAGTTAACGTAACTACAAAATACTAGAGCTAGGACTTGAAATCAGAATTCCCAGGTCCTAGATTCCATTAGGGAGCCCTGATGGCGCAGTGGTTAAGAACTTGGCTGCTAACCAAAAGGTCGGCAGTTTGAATCCACCAGCTTATCCTTGGACACCCAATGGGGGAATCCCCCCTCTGTCCTATAGGGGCTTTATAATCAGAATCAATTCAAAGGCAACGCGTTTGGTTTTTGGGTTTTAGATACTATTATTGGAGGCCCTCTGCGCCTCAAAAGATGAAGTACTCACTACTACCCTAAAGGCTGGCGATTGGAATGCACTTCAAAGACAGGCTTGGTGATCTCCTTCTGAAAGGGCACAGCCTTGAAAACCCTAAGGAGCAGTTCTACTCTGCACACATGGGGTCGCCGTAAGTCAGAATAGACTCAAAGGCAACTAACACTAACAAGAGTCTATTAAGATGGTTGTCAAATTTTACTTACCTTAGGGCTGAAACGGAGTAGTGGTTAAGAATTGGCTGCTAACCAAAAGGTTGGCAGTTCAAATCCACTAGCCACTCCTTGGAAACCCTATGGGGCAGTTCTACTCTGTCCAGTAGGGTCGCTATAAGTCGGAACCTACTCGAAAGCACCTAACAACAACAACAAAGGGCTGAAATAACCAGAGGCAACATTAAATTATAACATTTAGCTGGCAGAAAGCAGAATATTTTAGCAAAGAGAAGGAAGGACAGGTAAAGAAGGCTGAGTAGGCGAAGAGAGCAAAGCAAACAGAGCAGTACATGGAACAGACAAATTCTGAGGAAACGAAATAGAGGAGCAGAAGGTGGAAGGAACATCCGTGAGAGAGGCTGGAACAAGATCAGAGACTGGGGAGGGAGGACTAAAGACCAACATGGTTCTGGAATTGAGACTTAAAGCATCACGAAGTGTCAAGGGAGGGGAAGACCCTGGCCAGAGTCCCCAGCAATCTGAGCAGGGCCGCAAACCTCCTACCCCCTCGCACAGCCTTAGCTCACCCCGCCCGGCCACGTACGCCTCGCCCCGCCTCGCTCGGAACCTGCGTTCGCCCCTTCTGGCCCCGCCCCGCCCCCGTCCCCCTTCCCCCTCCCCTTCCCCCCAACCAGCGCCATCCCCGCCTTCCGTCAGGTCTCTTAGGTGATGCTGCAGCCAAGATGGCGCTGGCGGCGGCGGCGGCAGCCTGAGCGCGATGCTACGGGTCTTCGGTGGCAGCTGCAGCGGCGGCGGCTGTGGCCTCGGCCGGGGCCTTGGATCTCTCCTGGGCGTGAGCGCTCAGGCGCCTCTCCTCTGGCCCAGTTAACCCGGATAAAGAGGAAACGGCCACGAAGAGAGGAGGCAGTGAGCTACAGGGAGAGAGCGCGACACCTCCTGCCCCGGCACCATGGCAGGGATCATCAAGAAACAGATCCTGAAGCACCTCTCCAGGTCTGTGGGAGTCTCAGATGTGGGGACCCGGCAGCCTGCGGCCTCGTGGGGAGGCGGGGATTGGCGACTGTGTGGGAGGCGACCCTTGCGCTTCACCGCACCCCTTTCCCATTCCAGTCGGGACAGAGGTCGTGTACCGCCGTATGCCGTCGCCTGCGTTGCCCGGGGCTGGCTAACTCCTGGAGGAGCGTGGAGGGCGGTCGGGGGAGGAGGTGTCTGAAGGGCGCCTCGGGCAGCCCCCCACCCCCACCCCCGGGCATCCCTGCGCGAAAGCAGTAGAGCACCTGGAGTGACCCAGGTGCTTCGTTTATGTGGTCGGTTCCCACAAGTGCTCGTTGCTCGCTTCAACTCGGAGCAGAATAGTTCCGTTAACCGAGGGCGTCTGGCGCATTGTGGACTTTTAGGGTTGAGGCTGTCTTCGTGAAATGTGAACCTTGTTATTGTTCTGAATTCATCCCACCTCGGCGTTCCGCTTGGATGCCTTAGAGGGTGTGCCTGTTTGCACAGTTAGGATTTGCTTTAGGTAAACAACTAGCGTTCCAGCTTTGGCAAGTTATTTCTGGAGTCGTTTAGTCCCACATCGTTCTTACAAAATACTTTTTTTGCTTTTTAAAATCTAGAACCCATAAATTAAGGGAGTGAACATTTGTGGTGATAAAACCCGAGGGCTTGTCATTCTTTCCATTTCATAACGCGGTTTTAGTCAGAAACATGACTCAGTAATGCTGGCAGTTTGTTACTGCTCTTGGCTTCTCCATATTTGTCTCAAGACACAGGCTGCACGAGGGAACTATTTCCAAGTGGTTAACAGTCAATACATAGCGCTTGGGTAGGACCCCTTTCTCTTCTCTGATATTTGTAAGTTAATGATTACCTTTAACTGATTTTAGGAAGAGACTCAGATAAAATAATACACTTGTATGGTAAACACAAATCTTAATTGTAGAGATTGTTTTATATGACAGGTTATATATTGGAAACAAAATCAATTTTTCTGTGATTCAGCAAATAATTTTCATTTATAGCATTGAATAAGAACGTAGTTTTTAAAAAAAATTAATAATTTATGGCTGCATTTATTAATATGTTGTTGTTAGGTGCTGTCCAATCGGTTCCAACTCATAGTGACCCTGTGTACGACACAACGGAAACACTGCTCGGTCCTGTGCCGTTCTCACAATCCTTGCTGTGTTTGAGCCCATTGTTACAGCCATTGTGTCAATCCATCTCATTGAGGATCTTCCTCTTTTTTGCTGTTGCTCTACCAAGCATGATGTCCTTCTCCAGGGACTGTTCCCTTCTGATAACTTGCCCAAAGTACTCATCCTTGCTTCTAAGGAGCATTCTGGCTGTACTTCTTCCAAGACACTTGTGTTCGTTCTTCTATCAGTCCGTAGTATAGTCTGTATTCTTCACCAACACCATAAATCAAAGGCATCAATTCTTATTCAGACTTCTTTTTCATTGTCCAGCTTTCGCAAGCATATGAGGCGATTGAAAACACCATGGCTTGGGTCAAGCGCACCTTAGGCCTCAGAGTGACATCTTTGCTTTTGAACACTTGAGAGAGGTCTTTTGCAGCAGATTTGCCCAATGCAGTGCATTGTTTGATTTCTTGACTGTTGCTTCCGTGGGTGTTGATTGTCAATCCAAGTAAAATGAAATCCTTGACAACTTCAGTCTTTTCTCTGTTTATGGTAATGTTGCTTATTGGTCCAGTTGTGAGGATTTTTGTTTTCTTTATGTTGAGTGTAAACCACACTGAAGACTGCAGTCTTTTTTTTGAGATGTAAAATATTTTATTTGTGGGAAGAAGAAAGGTATGAAGGTGGTCAGAGAAATGAATGGAGGGAGGTCTCGGGAACCTTAGCCTCTGGGGACATACCCACTCCCATTTCCTCCCCACTCTCCATAGCGCTGAGGGTTGGCTTAAATTTTTTTTAATTGTACTTTAGATGAAGGCTTACAGAGCAAATTAGTTTCTCATTAAACAATTAATACACGTACAGTTTTGTGACATTGGTTGCCAACCCCACAACATGTCAACACTCCCCTTCTCGACCTTGGGTTCCCGCATTACCAGCTTTCCTGTCCCCTCAGGCTGTAGTCTTTGATCTTCATCAGTAAGTGCTTCAAGTCCTCTTCACTTTCAACAAGCAAGGTTGTGTCATCTGCATATTGCAGGTTGTTAATAAGTCTTCCTCCAATCCTGATGTCAAGTTCTTCTTCATATAGTGTAGCTTCTGGGATTATTTGCTCAGTATACAGATTGAATAAGTATGGTAAAAGGATACAGCCCTGATGCATACCTTTCCTGATTTTAAACCATGCAGTATCCCCTTCTTCTATTTGAACAACTGCCTCTTGATCTGTGTACAGGTTCTGCATGAGCACAATTAAGTATTCTGAAATTCCCATTCTTTGCATTGTTACATAATAATTTGTTATGATCTACATGGTTGAATACCTTTGCATAGTCAATAAAACACAGGTAAACATCTTTCTGGTATTCTCTGCTTTCAGCCAAGATCCATCTTTTTTATTAATATACATTTCTTAATATTATCAGTAATTGGAAAATTGCTTTAAAAATTGTATATATGGTGCAATACTGAGTTATCTTATTTTGGAAGAAGGTTTTATCTACTTGCTTTATTATTTAGGTAAGGTCTGACTTGTATTAAATGTCTCCAGTTTTTCTCATACTCAGTTCCATGAGAAAATTTTGACCTACAGAAAGTTATTTGAATGTCTATTTTCTCAGTTCTTCCAAGGATGATGAAGCTACTGCTGCATTAGAGAGATGTTAATTCACTCTATCGATGGATGCTTTAGGTCTTACGGCTTTAGGTTATTGTGGAACTCCAGTTGAGAAGGACTCTTAGAAGCAAAGGTAATGGCTTACGTCATAAAGCTACGCAACACCCATGTATTCAGAATTGACTCCTTATGGTTACTTTTTATTTATTTATTTATTTTTGTTTATTGTTGTAGTTTAAATGAAGCTTACATTTCAAGTTAGTGTCCCATACAAAAATTTATACATACATCGTTATGTGACCCTAATTACTCTCCCCATACTGTGACAGCACACTCCTCCTTTCCACTCCTGGTTCTCCATGTCCATTCAACCAGCTCCTGACTCTCTCTGCCTTCCCATCTCACCTCCGGACAGAAGCTGCCAGTTTAGCCTCTTGTATCTACTTGAGCTAAGAGGCACACACCTCATGAGCCTTATGGTTGCTTTTTAATCTGTGTGATTTTTCTAACAGCTATGTGTTAAATAGTAATGAGGATTTTTTTTCTCTTTCAGAGATGAGTTTTTAAAATGATTGAGTTTTCAGTTTTATATTTAAAAAGCCCTTATCCAAGATGTCTAAGGTTTATCAAATTCATATTCTTGGTTAATATGTTAATTTTATGGCTACTCCTATCATCTCCTAAGAAAAAATAGACTTAGTCATAAATATAAGGGTAAGTGACAATAGACCAAAGAAGGTAGATGCTGTGATGTGATAAATTACAGTTGAGTTATAATGAACTTTTGAAATTACCCAGGTCAAGTTTAATTTTACAGATTAGCTGGGAATTAAGATGTCACTGTAGTAGTCTGGAATACAGTTTAGTACAGTTTGACAGGAAATACTTAGTACATACTCAGTAACATACTCAGTAACATACATGGCCAGTGGATGCAGCCTGTGACATATTCTCAGAGAAGCCTCCCCAGACCACAGTTTAAAGTTGTGAACCCGCATCTTGCCTGCTCCCTATCCCACTTGCTTGCTTTATTTTTTTCCATAGCACTCATCTGTCATAATACATATTTAGTTATTTGTTGTTTGTCTCTCTCTACTGGAATGTAACTGGAATGTAAACTCCATGAGGGCAGGAATTTTTTCTTCTAAGCCTGGCATAAAGTAGGCGCTCAGTAACTATTTGTGGAGTGAATGGATAAATGGCACAAATGAGCTGACTCTCTCTCACACAGCTGTCTTTTTAACTGAGAGGAGACTGTATGCCACCAATATTATAGATTTGGGGTATGACCACTTTGGTTTCAGGAAGTAATGAATAATTGAATCTTTGAGTAAATGTGCCTTTGGTGTCCTGGAAATGAAGTACTCGGAAAATGACTCTTCATGTAGGGAGTCTTGCAGTAAGGAAAAAGAACCTTTGTCTAGGAACCAAGAGGATAAAGAGAATGCTCAATATGAGCCTGGGGGTGTAAGTATGGTGACATTGCCAGATTAAAACCAGTATTCCCCAGATATAGGGACTTGAGAATCTAGTATACTGCAAAAGTATGAAAGAGGAATTGTTTTTAAGAGATTGACGAATGCTTTGAGAGAATGCCAGACTTGTTCTTGACTGTTTAGTTTGTATCCCAAGCATCTCTTGCTTTCTTAATAAAAACAATTTGTGTATTTGGAACTGATCTGGAACTAGGACAGGGAGTGTGTGGGTCAGGGTAGAAATAGTTACATTTTAAGAGAAATGAAACAGAAAAAGTCTATTAAAGAGAAATTACCCTGATCCCTGGAAATATAAGCAGAGAAAACATTTTGGAGGCCTCTCTAGGAGAGTTGGTTTTTTTTTTCCCACAAGGAATGGAAATTTCTAAAGAAAAGTTATAAATGTAAGAAAGGAAGTAAGAACAGGAGTGACCTTTCATCTCAGTGCCTCACTGTCTGTTACTGTGTGTGTGTGTGTGTGTGTGTGTGACGCGCGCACGTGTGCACGGCGTGAAGATAGAGTATAATTAAGCCAGGACCTGAAAATGGTTAGGGAAGATTCGAGCACAAATAGACCTCCATCCCCTCCCTTAGGCTCAGGGCATACTATGTTAGGCACAAGGTTTGTTTAAAGCCGTGGATCTCAACCAGGGGTGATTTTCCCCTTACGGGTTATTTGGCATTGTCTGGAAACATTTTTAATTGTCATGTGGTGGCAGTGAGGGGGTGTGGTACTGACATCTAAGGTGGATTCTACAAATGGAC